GGCACAAAAGAGCTCGCGCGCGACTTCCGTGTTCCTTATATACCTTGACAAGTTGCCGGTTTGTTAATCAAACGGTAACAATATTTTCACATAGCAGGAGACGGTTTTTCCATTATAGCAAAATCAAATTGAACGATTTCTTAATTTTTATCGTAAATTGGCTTTTTTAACGATTTAATACGATATCCATTTTTATCATTTTAATGGTTTCTGCAAACTAAGACTAAATTCACACTTCTTTAATACTAGTTTTCGACTATCACTTAGTTTGAACAGAATTCTCTTAGAGGCTTTTGGTGATCCAAACTGAACTGTTGCGTAGTTCTTGGCTTGGTATCGTTTTCCAAAGATAAATCAGCTGATTAATTTTTGGAAAACGATGCCAATTACCAGGTCTTACCACGAGGAGGTGACTACGCACGAGACCCGCCCATGAGTTATTCAACATTATGCAGCTACAGAAAAGATGAGGTTGCCTTCGGTTAAATTGCACTTGCTTCTTTGATTCCATGAATATGGTGTTGTTTCCTTGGCTTTGAGCAGACATGGAAAAGTACATCTTAAAATGACACTCTGTGTTACCACAGGTTTTATACGAAATAGTGAAATGAGAAATTAAATACTGTATTTAAAATTAAAAAATAATGCTATATAGAAATAAAATAGTTTAAATGTTATAAATCAATAGCTTAGATAATATAAATTAGTAATTTAAATGTTATAAATTCATAGTTTAAATGTTATAAATTAGTGGTTTAAGCGGTGTTAGTAAATAGCTAAAATGTTAAAGCTTAATAGTTTAAATGTTTGAAGTTGATAATTTAATTCGCAACAGTTCCTTTTCGATGTTTACAGTGCAAGAGGTGTAGGACAAATGAGCTCGTGTGCGAGTAGCGTGTTCCTTATATACCATTGGCATGCACTTGACAATGTGCCGAAATGTCAATCGAACGGTGGCAGTTTGTTAATATCTTAAAAGTTGGTTTCTTCATTATAACACAATCGAATTTAATAATTTTTTAATTTTTATTGTAGATTGACGCCTTCAACAAATTATTATAATAATCATTTCTATAATTTTTATATTTTTGTTATCAGCTGAAACTAAATTTGCATTTCTACGGTACGACTTTTTGATGTAGAGCTGTTTTAATCAATATTCTATACCAGTTTATGACAAACATAATTTTACTATAATAGTTAAACATGAAGTTGACCAGTGGTCAAGAGTCGAAAAGTGAAAGAATCTACATAATATTTCAATTTTGATTTTCCGACATTCTTTTACAAACATTTTCTACTTTGATGATTTATCATAATATTTTATAACAATTTATCAATTTTCATAACTTAATTCTAAGTATATACCATCGTTCAACAATTAATTATTAAATATATAAATCTAATATGTTTTACACGCACAAGTTTGTCTTATTTCCTAAAATAAGATCATGTCAAAATAATAAAAATTTTAGAATTTATACATCAATTAATAGCAAAGTAAATAATGATAATAAATTATTTTCAATTAAAGAAATTTCTCCTTTCATGATAGTTCCGCTATTAATTCTCGAAGACCATTCTAAATTGCTAACATTTTTGTCACGTTTTTCTATTTATTACAATGTTTGAATTATTGAAATATATTTACTAATAATTGTATGAATAATTAAGTAATATACTAATATACTGATACTATATTTTGTTTGATAGTAGCAGTTACATTCGTGTAATATAAAAGCTTTTCATTAAAAATAAGATCTTATTCGTAATTGTTACTGAACATTGTCTGAAATGTGTTTTCTATTCCTCAATTTCATCAATTTAACCATTCGAATATATTAAATTTGCGCGCGCTCTGGTGTACGAAGATCGAGCATTTCTATTGGCGGAATATATTGCGAAGTCGAATTGAGCGTTCCTATTGGCGGAATATATTGCGAAGTCAAATCGAGCGTGCCTATTGGTTCGGAATATTGGAAAGTCGTAGTTTCAACCGTTCCGAGAGGTGACATACTGCTGAAAGTCGTGGAGCAAAAATTCGTCTCGTCGAGCGTTATCCTGTTGTTAGTACCTTCATTTCGACTTTATCAACGATTCTACACGTCTATCTGGTTCATTCAAATAGTACGTTTGTATTTAATCGGTTATTGATTATAATCTTAGTAAAATTAAATAGTATCCCGAAATTTTCTTTTACTTTTATCATTGACAAGTTATTTGGCAAGTTACAGTTATTGATCGTTCATATTATCGATCTTTGAGGTAGAATTTGGGTTCTATTATTACTTTATTTTACTATAATTGGTTTCATTATTGTAAATTGTTGGTTTTATCGTACATTTATTTGAAATTGTTGGTTTTCTTTTGTATAGATTATTGGCTAGTCACATGACTGAAAGAATAGGGGTTCGCATCACGGACACCACAAGCGATTAACAATCGATAATTTGAACTGATACAAGATGGACGTCATAGATGATTATTAGTAAATCGCGTCGTTGATTTCTCATGCAGATTTGGTAATGATTGAGGTATTATAACAAAGCAAACGTACGTATATGGTTATTTTCTCTTTTTATTGGATCGATAGTAATCGACATTTGCTAAATAATTGCTATACAGCTTACAATTGGCATACAATAACACCATATTATAAATAGTTGCATAATTTGTTGAAAATATTAAGATGAAAGAAAAAGAGGTTAAAGAAATCACATTTGAAACTGTTCATATATAAAAATGTTTCGGGTATATAGACTATCGTTAATAATCGAATATACTATTAAGTAATTAATTAATGTTTTTATATTAATATATAGCAAATAATGCAAATCATTTAATTATTATTAGAAAACAATTTATTGCGAAATTATTATATTTTTGTATATTGAAATGAGAAAATAAGTTTATTATTTTCCAAGACGTGTTCAAACATATTTCTGTGCAAGATTAAATATATACTTTAAACACTTGTGACACGTTTAAACGAGAAATTTATTAATTTATTACAAGTATTGTCAAATCTTTATAAAGTACAACATAATATATTAACAGAAATCATATTTCAAACTCTGAAAACGAACATTCACAACTGAATTCTTTCTGAAGAAAGAATTAATGTTATGTTTTAGAATATTAATAAATTTGAAAATATATTTGAAGATATCTTAGCAATACATAAACAGTGTTCGAAATATTACACGTATATCCCATTTTCTTAATGTGTATTTGTAATATCTGTTCGTCCGTGAAGAATGAATAATATTCGGTATATGTAGAGTACATACATTTTGAGAAACAGCAGTATTTCGTAAACAAACACCCTGCCCCCTTCCTCTCCCCATCTTCCTGCTAATGCAACTTTTTTCAGAGAATGTTTGTGATCACGCGCAATGTGGTCGATAGAGTCAGTGTTTGCTGCGTAATAACATTTTTCATATTTTCTAGAGCACAATAGCTCTTGATAATTATAAATTCAATTATAATACTTGTACACGAAATTAGAGTCAGTGTATTCGTCGAATGTTACTTAAACGGACGCGTTAATAGTCTTCTTTTTTTTTTCTTTTTAAACATTCGCTTTCGGTAGTAGAGTCGCAGGTTTCGCAAGAGGATACAGCCTCTCCTGGAACTCAAGAATGTAAGTATTTCTGTATCTTCTATACTAATTTCTTTTTTTATTTTTCTTTTGATCGAACTATTATTAATTTCCATTGGCATAAAATTTAAAACTTATAATATTGAAATACAAAATAAAAGTATTTAACATGCTTCACAAATGATTAGATTATTATCGTTCATTTTTATAGTAATTAGATTTTAACATGATTTCAATATTTATTGTTATTAAAATTTCAAGTTTGAATAGAGTTTTATTTTTCATTACCTTAGACTTCTTTAACAATGAACGATATATTTTTAAGAACAAATTATAATGTTTCATATGTTTTGTTTCAGTTTTTCATAATTTCTACCTTTTCCTGTGCTTCGGGAAGGACGCAGTGATGCTTCAAAATTAGATTTGAATTAGCATGTAAGTATCTTTGCATGTCGTATTCCAAAAACCAAGCCTGATTCAAGGTTATATAGAGTTCAATATTCATAAAAAGATTCAAGGTTTATAGAGTTTCATATTACATTATTTAAAAATTTATGCTGAATCATTACTTAGTTTTCAAAATAAATTATTCGCGCATATATTATTCATTTATGTATAAGGATACCATATGTTTTGTTAAAGGTTTATCACTCTTTCCTCTTCCTCCTGCTTCCTGAAAAAAGACCTATTGGGGCTTCAAAAGCCAAGAATGTAAGTAATTTTGTAATCTCTACTTCATTCAGTTCCATTGTTTATATTTCAATTTGCTACTCCTGATTTGAATATTGTCATTAAAATTTTAATAGAGATTAATAGAGATTAATATTCCACTACTTCAAATTTTTCAATTAATTAACGTCATATATAAAAGCAAATTATAATATTCCATACATTTTTATAGTTTTTTCTATAATGGGATTGCATGGCTCCTCCTTGATGACGGTCTTCACGACGACTTTCCCTGGGTTATCACAGCATCGATGATTACGTCCCTCGCATCTTATCGTGAGTCGCATGCATTTTTCTTCCTCTGGTCATTCAACCATGTCATAGGACGAAAGGTCCTACGGAATGGAATTTTTTGCGAGCACAGTGAACGCGGGTATTTATTATACCCGTGAGTAGTAACATTTTCTATTTCTATGTATTATTTATTAGTTCAAAATTATTTCAGGTCTTCTTGCACATCGCGTTTTTGTTTATGTTAATTATATGATACTGAAAAATTTGATATTAACAATATTAATAATGGTACTAACCGATAAAAACGATATTATATTAATAATTAATTTGAATATTTGTGATTGAAGATATACATGTATGTCCACTATAATCACTTTTAAAGTTGGAATGTATTAAAAATGTATATGTACAGAGAGTTACAATGATTTAATTAAATATTTCGTAGTGATGAAGTCGGATGCCCTCCGACTTCGTTCCATTAAAAATTGCAATTATTGCATATTAAATAATAATGATAATAAGTCATTTTTTATTTCACCTTCTATTCTCTGATGGTATTATTACGGTGGATTTAATTGTTCGCCATTCATTTTTTAATTTGAGTATTAATTTAAAATATACATATAGAGATAGTAAATTTCAGTCCTGCCGTACAAAAATGCATTGAATTTTATGTGCAAGAAGAAATTTCGCGACAGGTATATTTTGGAATCAAAGCACCTAGTTTTGAACGTTGCTTTTGCGCTTTCGAAAATGTGCTTTGACGAAGGGATTGCCTGAGGTTGTTTGCAATAATATCTAACTTTGAGCTAATTATTAAATAAATTTCTTATTCATTGTCAATTTGTCTCTTTTGTAATGAAATTTCAATAGTTCATAGAGTCAATTATTTAAATGAATCATTATATTGCATTGATTTTGTTTATGCTGTTTTCTATAAATAAATTCAATATTAGTATTTTGGTAAATTATTAAATTAATAATCTAGACTATACAGTGATAGTAATAGAGATGAAGTTCAAAATGCAAAATGAAGAAAGATTAGTCCGTTACATACAAATTAGATGCACTAATACGTTTTTTAGTTAGGATTTTCAGGTTTAACCCCTTCCGTATTCAATGCCAGGATCTCACTCACGTGCTCAGGTGCTACTTGGGAGAGAGAAAGGCAATGAGTATGATGACCACTGATTTTATAATAATTTGTAAGCGACTGACGATGAGTTAGCGTATCGTGCACGACGTACTTTCCACATAGTGTGTGTGGTTAGGCTGTGGAATTGCGTCGTTTAATATTTATTCCACTTACTATAAATCTAAATAATAAAAAATAAATTCAAACAAATATCAGTTCTATCACAACATGTAAAAACAAAAGTTCGTTATCGAATACAGGGAATTTGAGATAGTATCATTATTTTTATTGTTAAATTATAATAAATGGTACCACATTTCGTACCATCTTCAATTTCTTTGAAAAATAAACACACTTTGAATTATAAATATTTGTAATTAAAATTGAAATTAACTTTTATTGTGTTGTACGCAATGGTCACTAGCCTTCGTCAGTCGATTTCAGGAAAACGGTACGTAACATTAGAGTGTGCATGTTGTATGCCAAACTCGGGTGTCGGAGGCGTCCCGGGACGTCTCTCTAGTGTAGGCCTTTGCGCTCGAGTTATGTGTGAGAACCGTGGAGTGAATGTGTTGGTGTGCTTGTTTTGCTACTTTTTTAATTTTAAATATAGGTTTCCGGGTAGGATAGGTAGTATATTTTCTGGTATGAATGTTAACTATAAGTAGGTAGGGCCGGGCAGGTTGGCACAGTTTTCCGTCGGGTAGGCGCGTTTTCGCGTGTCCAACCTGTTTCAGGAAATTTCATTCGAATAATCGACGGTAAAGTTGGCACGAATGGAGCATGTCATCGTCTCTGACTTTGCCCATCGATTTTTTGAATTTCGCGGTCGTGGTCGCGAGTCGGTTTCGAAACGAACGTTAATATTGCTCGAGCATGCATATGCGAACGTACAGCGATCTCTATATGATCGTTGTTCATCCATGTGCACTTGGATCAGCTTCCGCGATTTATGTTTTTATTTCACCTTTATACGTTATTTTTTGGTTTGCGATTTAGAAAGTCTCGAGCCTAGATGTAAGTTTCAGCGGGCATTGCGCCCGAAGAAAGAAGAGGCTATAAGCTGAAGAGGCCCGGCAAACTGCCACTCAAGAGGGCAACTACTAATGACTCCCCATTTCCAATTTCGCGGTCGCGGTCGCGAGTGGGCTCGAAACGAACGTATATTGCTCGAGCACGCACATGCGAGTGGGCAACGATCACTGTCGTGATCGTTGGTCAGTCCATGTGCACATCAATCAGCTTCCACGGTTTATATTATTATTTTACCTTTATAAGCTTTTTTTTGTTTGCGATTTAGAATTCTCGAGCTTAGATTTAAGTTTCAGCGGGCATTGCGCCCGAAGAAAGAAGAGGCTATAAGCTGAAGAGGCCCGGCAAACTGCCACTCAAGAGGGCAACTACTAATGACTCCCCATCCTCTGGGTCATCCAAAGCATGGGAAGTCATTCTTGTTACTACTTCGTCACTGTGCTCGCTTTAGTATTTGTAGTAGTATTGAATTAGTATTGATTTGTTTGTTTGCCGACGTACACGTCGGCCCGTCGCCATGTTGGGCTAATCGTGGTTTTTCAATTAACGTTGCGAGTGATTAATTACGGTTTGAATTAGAGTTACGAATTCAAATTTCGCGTTGACAGTTAGAGTTACGAAACCAAATTTTGTGTTAACAATTAGAGTTTGCGAGAAAGTACTCCCGTTTGGATTTGCTTTAGCGTTGCGAATTATAAGATATCGCGATTGTACTCAGTATTTTCTATTGAGAATAATTATTAAAATTTATTAAAGAATAGAATTTGAATTTGTCGCGTTTTGTTTTATTTTAAGTCGAATTAAAATGACGTTAATTTTAAATTAATTTCGTAGCGTTGCGATTTGCGACCATCGCGCATAGTTGTAGTTTTTTCTTTTCATTTATAAATAGTAACATTAGATTAGATTCATTTTAAGAATTAGCGTTGCGATATATTTCATCGAGATTGTTTTAATAACTTTTCCGATTAGCGTTGCGTTGATGAATGATCGCGTTCTTATACGTAGTGTTGTGTCTATGAAATGCCCAAACTTCTTTCACTGAGATTGTGGAAACCTGTTCCTGGATCGCCTGATGCAACGAAGATAGTTGCTAAAAGGTGGTAGAGCATCAGCAGCTTCGAATGTAGCTGCACTTCGACATCTCGATATTAGTGTTGCGTATGTTGAAGTATGAGTACATAAATTAGTATTTATTAGTGTTGCGTGAATGATTAAAACACCCTACTGCGGTGTATGTTCCCGCGAATTTTTCATTTTTCTTTCTTTTTTGTTTTTTTTTTTTGTCACTAACAAATTAAATAGCATTATAAATGTGATAAAGTACTCCTCGCGATTTATTTCGAGAAACGTCTATTTTATGGTTATGGATTTAGTAAATTAGCGTTGCGAAATAGAAAAATATTTTCCACTCGCGGTTTGTTCGGGATTCTATCGAGTGGATCGCCCTTCTGGATTTATTTCTTTTTCAGCATTCCTGTGGGCGTTTGTTCATGGAAATACTGTTGAACAATATCTCTGTTCGATATTGATGAATATTTTTAATTTGTTGTTGTATTATTTAAAATTATTATAAATGATTTTATTTCATAATTATATATATATATTGCATTTCAAGAAAAATGGCAGTTGATATATCAATATGTTTGAGCTATATGATGTAAAAATTTCTTACTAAACGAAAAGGAAATGTAAAATAATCATAATAAATATAATGATAATATTAAAATATGAAGGTAATAATAATGAAGTATCATTAAGATTTTATTTCAATATTTTCATTTATTTTCATTATTTTTCATAAATTTTATTATTTTAGTTTAAAAATTAGACTAACAATGACTGTTCGTTATGAGAGTTTTAACTGTTTCGTTCATAGTATTTTTGACTAATTAAACGAAATAATTTTATGACTTTCAATTTGCTGTGCATAAATCAGTTCATTCGCGATCATCGTTTATTGCCAAGAATCTTGCACAGAAAATGTTGTGTGAATGGTGGTCGATTCTTCGCGTTAACAATAAAGTTTATCTTTTTGCTTCATTGAAAACGAGTTACAATAAAATGTAGAAGAGTTTGAATTCTTAACAAAATCTTTCTCGGTAATTTACGCAAAAATTACATGATGCAATAGAAATTATACAGAAAAGATCATATCTAATATCAATTGTATACACACAATCATTGAAATGAAAGAAACGAACACGATAGAATCGTCGGCGATCTTTAATGCAAAGAATAAAAGTTAAATTCATTCTATAAAAAGAAAGTATAAATGGACTAACGAATAAAACAAATCGTGACTTTAATCGCCTTTTTTTCATCTATGTATTCAAAATAAATTTCCCATTTTCAATGAAGTCTAAATTGAGATATTCAAATTGAAATATTTAATTTCGAATCCAAATTGAAATATTTATTTTCGAAACCAAATTCAAATTCAAATTGCTGAAAATTTGCGTAATTCTGATTAATATACTAAATTGGTGGATATATAATAAAAGACTATGAGTTATTTTTGTAATTTATTCATTTTTTTTATGTCTAATAAAATGTTTCCTTCTCAGTTTTTACACTTTTTGTATTATATGTACTAATAAAATAAATGAGTTTGTTGTAGATTTATTAACTTCTAGGATATACACTTATATATATAAATAGCAGTTCAAGTTATAAATATTACATAAAAAATTCAAGAATGGATCAGTGGAACTTGGAATACGGATTGAAAAGTATAAATGAAATATGAATAGAAGAGATGTTTAAACGAGAAGCGCTAAAAATCACGGAGCAGCTTTTGAACTTTATCTGCTGTGAATTATAATTGTATCTTGTAAAATCTTTTTGTAAATTTTTTCTGGTTTGAGTTTGTTTCAGATACCATCGAGACA